GGCATAGAATGTGAGTCCCCAATTAAAAATTTTTATTAATTACTTGGGAAGACATCAAATTTTTAACTAATTTTCACAGTGGGACCTATTTAGGAGAAAATAGCATTTTCACCAGAACCTCCCCTTAATTAAGATTTTTTTTAATGTCCTAGAACTTGCTAAAGTCATGGCCTGGGACTGTCTTGCTATGAGGAAATGAGCACTAAACTTTGGTTATGACTCTGCAACTCAAGACAAACTCCGCAGCTGCTGCTCAACCAATTTTTTTAAAATGTGGAATGCCAGTAAAGCATACATACAACTTTCCATCTTCTTATTCTGTCGGCTAATTTTACAACAGGTAAGTGCCCAGTACTCTCATTTTATTGCAATTAAGTTAACGTTTGTCTTTAGATGTTGATTTTCTTTGTTTCAGGCTTCTGACGCGGAAAAATAATAAAAGATGCCATGCTCATACAACCACTGTGCTCATAGTTGGAGCAGGGCCGAATTCGAGCCATACAATTTCGAAGAATTCTGGAAACGTTGGAATTTTAATTGATTTTTGGTTAACTGAATGTAAATGCAGTAATTTTATCAATGTCTGTTCTTAATAATGTCTCAACATAAAAAAGATGGCAAATAAATGCAATACAATACGAATAGGCGGTTTCCGCGACCTTTTTTCCATTCTCCGACCGACCTGAAAAAAGTTTCCTCACAAAATGTGACCACATTAAAAAGAACCGTCATTGAAATTCGAAAAGGTTGTTTCTTTTGCCCCCTCTACGAACTGCCCCGAGGGTAGGAACTTACGGAATAGCCGCTGAGAATCAAACTATTTGAAAATGACACGTAACAGAACCAATTGCCCAAAATCAAACAGTTTAGGGGAGAAAGTACCTTATAATACAAGAAGTCTTTTGGCTCAGACAGATCTCTATGGGTCAAAAGGGTAAGGTGCCCAATGTTGGCCATGGTACCAGTGATGGCCACTTAAGGTGAGGTGTGGGTGAAAATTTGCACCAAAACTGATTAATATGATAAATTTAATCCTCTTGTTATTTTAATGTAAAATATTCTTCTATTACCCACAGCATGTCCTAAAGGTCTTTGTTGTGTACCCCTAAGTGAGTGGTTTAACTAACATGGACTGATGTATTCATGCGCCTTTTCTGGTCACCCAACTCTTACGACAAGTGTCGAAGAAATTTTTTTTCTACTCCGTCAACTAGCCACGCATACAGTTTTGTTTTATACTGACCATACTTCTTGGAGTAGTTCTTTGTGGCCCATGTGACAATGTAACAGAGAGATATTTCAAATATCTATCCACTTTCATAAATCGTTTACCTTAAAGTGGTATAAAAAGGAGAAAAATTCTTATTTTTTCCAATTAAAAAGTTTCAACCACCACAGCCAAGTGGTATAGAAGTTTCCATCTTCTCCCGCACCTCACCTTAAGGGGAGGTTCTGGTGAAAATCTTGTCATTTGCAAAATGGATCCCACTGTCACATATTCTTTGGAATATAAAATCTTTCTTCGTGGAGACTAAAATTTGACTTTTGAAGGCACATCAGGGTTCACACCGGTCAGGGAAGTCATGGAAAAGAAAATGGGCAGTGAAAGTCAGGAAAAGTAGGGAAAATTCGATTTTGGTCACGGAAAATTTAAAAAGTTCGTTAAAGTATGGATTATGAACGCCGCACGTGTGGAAGCTGCATGCAACAGACTCCCGAAACGATACGTGCACTGTCACTCGTCTGCGTGACGCTTAATAACGATACGGTGACGGTGTCGCATCTCCCTCTTCTGCTCGGTACCAACGTCTACTAACAAAGTTTATCTGAAAAATAAAAGTTTGATCGGGCTGGGTCTGTTTTAAATATGAAACGTTACCTACACTGTGACTCGTCTGCGTGACGCTTGATAACGATACGGTGACGATGTCGCAGCTCTTTCTTCTGCCCAGAACTAACCTCTACTATCAAAAATCATCCGAAAAACAAAAGTGTGATTGTGCTGGGTCAGTATTAAAAATGTAACGATACCTACACTATCACTCGTCTGCGTGACGCTTGATAACGATACGGTGACGATGTCGCGGCTCTTCTTTCTGATCGGTACTAACGTCTACTAACAAAGTTTATCTGAAAAGTAAAAATTTAATCGGGCTGGGTCTGTTTTTAAAATGAAACTATACTTAAACTGTCACTCGTCTGCGTGACGCTTGATAACGATACGGTGACGATGTCGCAGCTCTTTCTTTTGCCCGGAACTAACCTCTACTAACAAAGTTTATCTGAAAAATAAAAGTTTGATCCGGCTGGGTCTGTTTTAAATATGAAACGATACCTACACTGTCACTCGTCTGCGTGACGCTTGATAACGATAACGGTTACGATGTCGCAGCTCTTTTTTTTGCCCGGAACTAACCTTTACTAACAAAGTTTATATGAAAAATAAAAGTTTGATCGGGCTGGGTCTGTTTTAAATATGAAATGATACCTACACTGTCACTCGTCTGCGTGACGCTTGATAACGATAACGGTGACGATGTCGCAGCATTTCTTTCTGATCGGTACTACCGTCTACTAACAAAGATTATCTGAAAAATAAAAATTTGATTGGGCTAGGTCTGTTTTTAAAATGAAACGATACCTACACTTTCACTCGTCTGCGTGACGCTTGATAACGATAACGGTTACGATGTCGCAGCTCGTTCTTCTGCCCGGAACTAAAGTCTACTAATAAAGTTCATCTAAAAAATTAAAGATTGATCGGGCTGGGTCTGTTTTAAATATGAAACGATACCTACACTGTAAAAAATTCCGTACTTTTGAACGGAAGTGGTACAGAAAAATATAGTACGGAGGTACGGAGAAAAGTACGGAACGTTCCGTACTTGCTCCATATAAACCCATGTAAATGGTACGGTAAAATAGTACGGAACGTTCCGTAGTTGGCAAGTACGGACGGTCCAGGCAAATTATTGACCAGACATGTTCCGTACTTTTTCCGTACTTTTTTCTCACACTGTACACTGCCACTCGTCGGCGTAACGCTTGATAACGATACGGCGACGGTGTCGCAGCTCTTCTTTCTGATCGGTACTAACGTCTACTAACAAAGTTTATCTGAAAAGTAAAAATTTGATCGGGCTGGGTCTGTTTTAAATATGAAACGATACCTACACTGGCACTCGTCTGTGTAACGCTTGATAACGATACGGCGACGGTGTCGCAGCTCTTCTTTCTGATCGGTACTAACGTCTACTAACAAAGTTTATCTGAAAAGTAAAAATTTGATCGGGCTGGGTCTGTTTTTAAAATGAAACGATACCTACACTGTCACTCGTCTGCGTGACGCTTGATAACGATACGGTGACGATGTCGCAGCTCTTTCTTTTGCCCGGAACTAACCTCTACTAACTAAGTTTATCTGAAAAATAAAAGTTTGATCGGGCTGGGTCTGTTTTAAATATGAAACGATACCTACACTGTCACTCGTCTGCGTGACGCTTGATAACGATAACGATGTCGCAGCTCATTCTTCTGCCCGGGACTAAAGTCTACTAATAAAGTTCATCTAAAAAATTTAAGATTGATTGGGCTGGTCGGTCTGTTTTTAAAATGAAACGATACCTGCACTGTTACTCGTCTGCGTGACGCTTGATAACGATAACGGTGACGATGTCGCAGCTCTTCTTTCTGATCGGTACTAACGTCTACTAACAAAGTTTATCTAAAAAATAAAAATTTGATCGGGCTAGGTCTGTTTTTAAAATGAAACGATACCTACACTGTCACTCGTCTGTGTGACGCTTGATAACGATACGGTGACGATGTCGCAGCTCTTTCTTTTGCCCGGAACTAACCTCTACTAACAAAGTTTATCTGAAAAATAATAGTTTGATTGGGCTGGGTCTGTTTTAAATATGAAACGATACCTACACTGTCACTCGTCTGCGTGACGCTTGAAAACGATAACGTTGACGATGTCGCAGCTCGTTCTTCTGCCCGGAACTAAAGTCTACTAATAAAGTTCATCTAAAAAATTAAAGATTGATTGGGCTGGGTCTGTTTTAAATATGAAACGATACCTGCACTGTCACTCGTCTGCGTGACGCTTGATAACGATAACGGTGACGATGTCGCAGCTCTTCTTTCTGATCGGTACTACCGTCTACTAACAAAGATTATCTGAAAAATAAAAATTTGATTGGGCTAGGTCTGTTTTTAAAATGAAACGATACCTACACTGTCACTCGTCTGCGTGACGCTTGATAACGATACGGTGACCATGTCGCAGCTCTTTCTTTTGCCCGGAACTAACCTCTACTAACAAAGTTTATCTGAAAAATAAAAGTTTGATCGGGCTGGGTCTGTTTTAAATATGAAACGATACCTACACTGTCACTCGTCTGCGTGACGCTTGAAAACGATAACGTTGACGATGTCGCAGCTCGTTCTTCTGCCCGGAACTAAAGTCTACTAATAAAGTTCATCTAAAAAATAAAAGTTTGATCGGGCTGGGTCTGTTTTAAATATGAAACGATACCTACACTGCCACTCGTCTGCGTAACGCTTGATAACGATACGGCGACGGTGTCGCAGCTCTTCTTTCTGATCGGTACTAACGTCTACTAACAAAATTCATTCGGAAAACAAAAGTCTGATTGGGCTGGGTCTTGTTTTTAAAAAAGCCGATTCCTGCACTGTCGAGTGTTTACCTTATGGTCAGTAACGGTACGTGACTGTGCAGCAGTTTTGATTTTAGCGCGGTACTTACCTGTACTAACGTGTTTTAATGGGTCAGAGCTGTTTCGGTTAAAGTTGCTGTTTGTCGCAGTGTCTGTTGTGTGAATGTGCACGGTTTATGTTTTTCAAAAAAAAACTTTGGTATGCATTTGGTACTATTGAACGTCTTCTGCAGTACTAACATCTACTAACGAAGTACTAACGATAGGGCTTGTATTTTGTGAGCGGGCAAGTAACAAGCAGTGCAGCGGTTCAGACCTGTGGTGAGAGCTGTTTTGACGGAGTCAAAAGCTTCCTGACAGTAAGGTGTCCAATCAAAGTGGACTCCTTTTCTGAGTAGTCTGTACAAAGGTGAAACTTTGCTGGCCATATGAGGTACGTATTTGCCATAGTAGGCGGCTAAACCAAGCCATGACTTTAATTCTGAACTGTCATTTGGCTGTGGCCAATGAATGATTTTATCAATTTTATTTGAATCTACTTTTATTCCTGTTTCAGACAGGATGTGTCCTAGGAAGGAAATCTCCCTTTGGAACAACTCACACTTTTTGGCTTTGAGGAGGAACCCTTCAGCCCTGACTCTATTAAGGAAGGCTTCCAGCCGTTGCAACATTTGTTCAAAGTTGTCTCCAGCTATGCAGACATCATCCAGGTAAACAGATACAGTATTTCCTAAATCATTGTGCTTGTTGGGTTCTAAGGCTGGTGTGACTAGTCTATCTGTGACTTGTTGGAATGCCCCTGGGGCTGCAGAGAGCCCAAAACTCAATCGAGTGTATTCAAACTGCCTGTGTGGTAGTCCCAAATCTTCTGGTAAAATGATGGCCGTTTTGGGTTGGTCATCAGGATGCACTTCTAAATTGTGGTACCCGTGTGCTAAGTCAAAGGTGTGATACATTTTGCGTCCCCCTAAATTTTGTAGTATTTCCTGTGTTCTGGGTATTGGTGCTGCTGGAACTCTAGTGATAGCATTGAGTGCTCTGTAGTCTACACAAACTCTAACTTCTCCAGTCTTTTTAAGGACGCAGAGAATGGGTGACGCCCAAGCGGAATGGCTTGGTTTGATGGCTCCCATTTTTAAGTATTTCATAAATGTCTCATACACTTCTTTTCTGTAATGCAGGGGTACTGGACGTGCGTTCTGTTTGATGGGTGGATGGTCGCCGGTGTCTATCCTGAATTTCATCCATGGGCATCGACCAAATGTGAAGTTGTCTGGTGCAAATACATCGTGGTGTCTGCGAATGAGTTTTTCTACTTCTACCTTTTGTTCGGGTGGCAAGGCAGTGGCTTTGATCATGGCATCTAAGTCTGCAGGTAATGGCATATTTTCTGGAATGGGTTCTTTTTCTGGCAACTTGTACTCTGCATCATGGAAATTTTCTATTTCATGCTCAGTTAAATTCAGATGTTCTGTCCCATTTGCTATGTTGACTGCTCGACATGGACACTCTTTAATTTCATTATTAGTTTCATTATCACTTTCATATCCACTCTCTTCCTCCCTTTCTAAGTCCTCCTCAAAATCTGGGTTTGCCTCATCCTCAAGACCATCATACTGTAGTGGGTGGAGTAGCAGGACTTCTGCTATAATTGCATACTTGGAAATTTGGACACAAGTGTCTCCAAGATTTAGTAGAGTTACATTTACTGGGCCTGTCACACACGGTACAACGCCTGTCTGTATGACTATATTTTCTGAGATTTGACTTTTAACGTTAGGGTTACTTTTGCTGGCTGTTAACAAACCGACATGCATCTTGCCTTCTGCTCTTTCGGGTGGTTGGATTCCCAATGTTTGTTCGCTTTCTTGTGCGTTGGCCGCACCCATTTCACAATCTTTTACCATGGTTTTGTTCTTTGTTTCTAGACCGTCAAGCTGGCGATGACCGGTCTGGCTGTCAAGCTGGCGATGATCAACCCCCTCCGCTCTTGCCTGAGACGTTATTATGGGACCTGTCGTTTCCGGAGGTGAAGCAGAAGTGGACAGTTTCCTTTCCGACTCCGGAGTCCACTGATCGTCATGGCAAGCAACGCGTCAGACAATTCCGACTCATCAACCACCAGGTCAGTTTCCAACTTTGTGGAAACCTGCCTCTCTACGAAAGGTTTCAGCAAGATTTTCTGATTCGCACGTATTGGATAGGACAGATTGCCACTGGCGAAATCTCCCTTGTGCACAGAGTTTACAACTTTGTATGGAACTTGGATGTCATTTTCAAGTTCAAGCATTTTAGTTTTGGTGTTGACAACACCTTCGAATGTATCAATGAAATCATAGCCAATTAGATTTTCTGTAATATCAGCCTCATAAACTGGGAACCTATAAGTCTGGTTTCCAAATTTAACATCAGTCCACTCTGGCCCATACAGCGATGTCTTGTGTGATGTTGCACTTTTTAGTCGTAATTTAGAAACAGGTAGATTGCGAGTTCGTTTAAAAACAGTTATAGTGGCTCCTGTATCAATGATAGCTTCTTTGGCCTCGCCGGCCACAAGGCAGTTTACCAGTGGGCCTTTCTTATGGGGAAAGCAAGCTGCACATTTTAATTTATGTGCCGGGTTAATATTTTCTTTGCCCAAATTGGGTTGATGTTTGCAAGCTTTAGTAATGACAGGAGGGGACACTTGAGTCCTTAGTACAGGAATAGGTTTGCAAGCTTTAGTGATGACAGGAGGGGAGTCTTGAGTCCTTAGTACAGAAATAGGTTCGGTTTCCAATGGTCTTATAATTCTGGGGGCCTCTATTTCCATTGGCTCAATAGAAGGCCTTATTGGTTTTCCGGCTTGGGAACGTATGGCATATTTACCTTACTGTCATTTTGTGTATTATTATTAGCTTGAGTGTTGTTGTGTTGGGGTGCTTCGTGCGTGCCCTGGAGTGGATTGTGTCTGGCGTACCATGACATTGCTGCTTGGTAAAGGTCTGGTGGGGCCTCAGGGAATCGGACATACGGTCCTTTTGAGTCACTGTTATTACTATTATTGTTGTTATATTGCCCCCTATTGTAGTTGCCCCGACCTCTGCCCCTTGGGTGTGAGGTACCTCTATAGCTGTTTTGCCCGTTAGAGTTCTGACTCTGAATTTGCTCGTAATTTGAGCTGTGTTCCTGATAACGGCCCTCAGCTTCATCCGCAATGCGAAGCCTGCAGTCTGGCTTAATATGACCGCGTTTCCCACAGTAGTAGCAAGTCAGGTGATTTTGACAAGCCGCAGCAAAGTGCCCTGGTTTACCACATGTGTGGCAATTGGAGTCACTGCTGGTTTGGCCTCCCCGGCCTCTGCCTCGGCCTCGGCCCCTGCCTCGGCCCCTGCCTCTGCCTCTACCTGTTTGTGTTCCTGTTCCAGGTGCTGCTTCCTGGTCGGCGTAGTTGACTTCAGCATTGTCGTCCGAAATGTCTTCTTACTTTTCTGACCTTTTTGCTGGGAGTCTCCGATGTCAGAGACAATGCCCTATTCACATGGGTGAGTGCTTCCTCCACCGAGTTGACTGATGCATAACAAATACGCTCAGCCACTTTCCTATCTGTTAACCCTTTGATGAAAGCCTTAACACCGGCTTGATCCCTATCGATTGATTGCTGTTTGGCATGTAATCGACCACAGCTTCCTTTACCTTCTGAGCGTAATCTCTCAGAGTTTGTCCCTCTTCCTGCTTGAGTGACTCGTAAACTCGAGTCCTCTCCCATAACTCTCTCCTGATATGAAAGTGTTTTCTAGCTCTGCATCTAAATTGGCAAATGTCAATGGCCTATTTTGTGTGGTCAAGGTTCGAATGACCTTCGTAGCTTCCCCTTGTAGGGCCTGCAGTAGGAACGCCCCTTTGTCCTGTTCGGACCAGTTTTTGGCCCGCCCTTCAATTCAAAAAATAGGGGAAGGGCCTATGCATTTGCCTTTGTGTCTGTGTGTTGTTGTCGTTGTCGTTGTTGGCGTCTGTGTACAAGGAAGGAGTTGAGCTAGAGTAACAGATTTGGAGGGTACTTCAGGAGTACCGTCCCAACAAATAATCCGGTGGTGCAAATCCCGTCCGGGTCGCACAAGGGCTGCTGCAGGTGCATCATGGTTTACATGAGCGGGAGGGGGATTTCCGCCATTATTGGTGCTAGCAGGGCACATAGGGGTATTTTGGAATCGGGGCGACGAGACAAGATGAATAGACCTGGTCCCGACCCCATCGGCCGCTTTTACAAGTTGGCCAGATCAGGATCTTCAAAAAAGGGGGTCGACCGACTGAAAAAATTTATTGCAGATTTCGATTGGTCTCAGCAAGACCTTTTCAACGAGGGGTCGGAAAGGGGGTCCAGGAGCCCGACTTCGTCTATTAGTCACATCAGGATCTTAAAAAAAGGGGGTCGACCGACTGAAAATTTTTACTTAAGTTTTCGATAGGTCTTGGCAAGACCTCCTCAACGAGGGGTGGGAAGGGGGGTCCAGGAGCCCACCTTCATGAGTTATGGGAAAAAGTGCGACGGACTCGTTTTGCGCTCCTGCTGTGCCTCCATTGCAAGGAGTTGCAGTAGCATGGCAAATATGGGTATTTTCGGAATGAGGGCTAAGAGACAAATGAAATGGGCATATTCTAAGGACAGTTGGAGTAAAGAGTGTAAGGACTTTTGCATGTGAATGGAAGGGCGGGCCTAAGTCACGATGGTACATCGATAACTTTGCTTTACCCGCTTTACACGGGCTGTGTTATGCGAGCGGGCCGAAGGCCCGGGCCTTCGACTGGCCAAGTTGGGTCTGATGCGAGGGCCGAAGGCCCGAGAAAAGGCCGCCGGCAGGCCAAGCTGGGCGGCCCCCTGTCGAACGAGAGTTGCCGGCGCAGCGAAGCGGAGCTGGCAACTCGGTTCGACGGAAGGGCGGGCCCTAGCTTGTTGTGTTCTGCGATGCTCAGAAACTGTGCTCTGTAGACATCGTACCCTGTGCTGCCATTGTATAGTGGTACATAGCCAGACGTGGAAATGACTGTAGCTGCTGGTTGCATGTGTGCTGGAGGGGCGCGATTAATTAGGTCGCGCATTAGATTGTAAAATTGTTGGGGTTGTAAATTATCTTGCTGATCGCGCCTATCTTCGCGGCGGTAAGGGTGCGCGCGTCGACGGCGGCGTGGCGCCTGGCTGTACTCGTCGTCTTCCTCATCATGATCCTCACCAGGATTGTCGTCCCAGTCCATTACATCGTCGCGCCCGGGCGCGCCGGCCTGCTGGCCGTGGTCCCTGACTCGCGGCTCGTGCTGCTCGTCGTGATCGAGGTCGTCGTCGTCCTCGTCGGTGTCGTACCCGTAGCGCCGCAGCGGCCTGATAGCACGGCGGGGGCGGTCCGGTGCTTGCCCTGCGCCTAAACCTCCGCGTCCGCGCCCTCGGCCTCTACCGCGTCCTCGCCCGCGCCCTCTACCGCGTGGGGCAGGCACGCCCGGTTCGTCGTGTTGTTCGCGGGGTACTTCGACTTCCTCGACGTCGAGGGGGACCTGCGCGTCGGCTATGGTTGGGTAATTAGTCCCACCAACGGCGGTTGTACAAGACGGTGTTCAAAGGGCGGCGCCTTTGCTGGACGGGGCGGATTCGCGGCGTGGGGCGCGTGGGCTCGTCGGACGGGGGCGACGCTGTGTAAACGCGCACTGGGGTTTTGTGTTCAACAAGATTGCCCTTGCTATCCCAGGTAATTACTGTGCAGTAATCTATGTGTACTGTGTTGCAGGACGACGCGGTGTTCACTTCGCGAGGAGCTTCGATTTCAACAACAGATGCAGTTGGGTGTGGGGAATGGGACATAGCACTTGACTTTAATAAAGTTTTGACTTGATTTCAAGCCTCTAATTTCTAAGTTAAGACTAGTTCACTCACTCCTTAAAACTAGCACAGCTCGATGCCAGCTGGTCACTTTGACACAGTGGCAGAGTAGGCCTTTAACTAGCCTCACCACAGCACGAATTCGCTCAGCAGGCGTGTGCAGGCGATCATCAATGCGCGGAGAGGACCGAACGTGCAGCTTTACTGATCATGCGGCAATTCGCTCAGCAATTGAATGCAGGCGACCATGCGTTAGGGGCAGTAGGCTACTTGTTCCTCATCAGTCAAGCACGTTCTCTCAACAATTTCGCTCAGCAAATGAATGCAGGCGAACGTGTGGGCCTCGTGTGGGCTGAGTATGTTGATAAGTGAGCAGGCAATTTCACGCAGCAAATGAATGCAGGTGGACGTCACTTGGTCACGTAACAATCAACTTATTTCTAGCTGTAGTATTCGCGTAGGCAATTTCGCTCAGCAATTTAATGCAGGCGAACCTCACACTACTTGTATATCTACAGGTTGTTCCCGTTCCATAAGTGAGTAATTTCGCTCAGCAAATTAATGCAGGCGATGACTATCCACTCAGGTAGCAGGTGTCTTAAATTATTTGGCATACAGGACATGAGCCCCGTCCCGTTTGAGCCCCGATGGTCTGAGCCCCGACCTGAGCCCCAACCTGAGCCCGGGTTGAGCCCCGACTTGAGCCCCGACCCAAGCCCCAATTTTCAGAGCCCGGATTGAGCCCCGACCTGAGCCCCGTTTGAGCCCCGTTTGAGCCCCATTTGAGCCCCATTTGAGCCCCACTTGAGCCCCGTGGCAATAAATCATGCAAAACTGCGTGATTTCAGGCCGCGGGGCTCAAATGGGGCTCAAATGGGGCTCAAACGGGGCTCAGGTCGGGGCTCAATCCGGGCTCTGAAAATTGGGGCTTGGGTCGGGGCTCAAGTCGGGGCTCAACCCGGGCTCAGGTTGGGGCTCAGGTCGGGGCTCAGACCATCGGGGCTCAAACGGGACGGGGCTCATGTCCTGTATGCCAATTATTTCTAGCACTCCCTTGTACTCCTGTTGGACACACTCAAACCTTGCGGCGAGTTTCCAACACTCTTTCTCACTCAGAGTCATACTCGAAAACCAAACCTCTGTAGTCAGGGGAGGCCTGGCCTCAGCGGCTAAGCTCGATTCAATTACACACACAAGTATCCACTTTCGTTAGCATGAGTTAGCAGCTTTTTCAATCACGATTCACACGCTGGTATTGGTTGTGGTGGGCCTCTACTAGCTTCAAGTTCACACACTAACACTCACTGACTTGAAAACTGCTAAGTTCAAACTCTCGCGCTATCACTCACTCTCCTCCCCCCTAACAGGGAAGGCATAGACCGACCTTAACCTCAAAGCCCGATCCCACCGCTGTCACCAGTGTTATTATAGTGTGGCAGTGTAAGGGACTTGGAGGGAAAGGGTAGTCGAAGGTCTCGTGGAGACGGAAGCTTCTGTATTATCAACAAGGTGACCGTGTACAGAATGGTAGCTGGCGCCAGACAGCGCGCCTTTATATTACAGATGCAGAAGAACATAGGGAAGAACAATGGTGGAGAGTGGGGGTGCATGGCCAATGGGATTTAGGAACCAGGGTATTTGAGGGAAGAACGAAAAGAAGAAGGGTTGAGGTCCTGGCCAGGATCACTAGGGTAGTGGTTGAAAAACTAGGGGAATGACCGTCTAGAGGCCGTGCTTTGGTTATGTTCTCTATTGTTTCATATCATAACACGTTATAAATTTAAAAAAAAAGGTATTTTATTTTATAATATTTTATCGATAAAATATTATAAAATATAATAAAATAATGGGGTAGGACAAAAAAATAGGTAGGACAAACGTTGTAGACCCGTTGGGCCATGTATTTTGTCCATATAGTGCCCATATATTTTCCATTTTGCAAGGGGTTTTCTTTCCTTGAGATGAATGCGCTCCGTTCAGGCAGTCAAACCATACATTTACTTTGTCAATCAAAATTTCTGTCTCACTTGCATCAGGCCAGTTCTGACTCTTCATATCTTTGAATACGGTATTGCTCAAGGGCTGTCCAGCCAGTTTCACCTTCATACGAGCATAACTATCTGGATAGACATTCATAGGATTTAGCTTGTAAGATTTTCTCAGACTCTTTTTTTTCTTCTCCTCGTATAATTTAATAATGAAGTCCCAGGTGATCCTTTTGCCGTTCTTCATCATTTTTCTCCGACTCTTCTTTCCGTCCCACCTTGAATTTAGGAGACAGTTTCTGATAGTCTTGAGAAGGTGGGGTACTACTTCGTACGAGACGGGATTTACTGTACCGCAGGAGTGGCGTACGGAATATCCTGTAGCAGGTAGGGATGTAAAGGCCGGTAATATTACCGGTAAAGAACGGTATAATACGGTAAAATACCGTATTTTACGGAGACCCCGGTAAAATTGGTATTTTTCGGTAATTTTGAAATATTGACTTATTTGAACTTCTTTAGCTTCCATACGATTATACAGGACGTACGGACTGAAAATAGCGCTTCTTTTGAACTCTTGGTTTGTATCTGCCCTTCGTGCCACCCCGTGTACGTGTAAGACGTCTAGCCACTTAAAATTAACGTGAAGTAAATGTTCCCTTCTTTTGCAAAACTTGTGGAAATCCAAATCCATTTACGCGACCCAAATCTCCGAAAGGCAAATCAAAAACCTTTCTTTGTTGCCAATGTTCATATAATTTTAACTAACTTAAAATTGAAAAGAGGTAAATCTAGGGGTAGATATTTGTTAGACATTTGAGCTGAAAAGTGTAACGAACATTGGTATGGTTCTTGGACACCTTGCAGCCTTTAAGGAAAAAAGTTTTTTCATGGAATTGAGACAACTGACTTGGATAACGAGAAAAACGGCGCCCGTTTTGTTAATTCTTAAGTATATTTGGGCTGTTAACTTTGCTGCTCTACGCATTTCTTAATCCAGCCCAGTATGTCAAGCTGGCGATGATCAACCCCCTCCGCTCTTGCCTGAGACGTTATTATGGGACCTGTCGTTTCCGGAGGTGAAGCAGAAGTGGACAGTTTCCTTTCCGACTCCGGAGTCCACTGATCGTCATGGCAAGCAACGCGTCAGACAATTCCGACTCATCAACCACCAGGTCAGTTTCCAACTTTGTGGAAACCTGCCTCTCTACGAAAGGTTTCAGCAAGATTTTCTGATTCGCACGTATTGGATAGGACAGATTGCCACTGGCGAAATCTCCCTTGTGCACAGAGTTTACAACTTTGTATGGAACTTGGATGTCATTTTCAAGTTCAAGCATTTTAGTTTTGGTGTTGACAACACCTTCGAATGTATCAATGAAATCATAGCCAATTAGATTTTCTGTAATATCAGCCTCATAAACTGGGAACCTATAAGTCTGGTTTCCAAATTTAACATCAGTCCACTCTGGCCCATACAGCGATGTCTTGTGTGATGTTGCACTTTTTAGTCGTAATTTAGAAACAGGTAGATTGCGAGTTCGTTTAAAAACAGTTATAGTGGCTCCTGTATCAATGATAGCTTCTTTGGCCTCGCCGGCCACAAGGCAGTTTACCAGTGGGCCTTTCTTATGGGAAAGCAAGCTGCCACATTTTAATTTATGTGCCGGTTAATATTTTCTTTGCCCAAATGGGTTGATGTTTGCAAGCTTTAGTAATGACAGGAGGGGACACTTGAGTCCTTAGTACAGGAATAGGTTTGCAAGCTTTAGTGATGACAGGAGGGGAGTCTTGAGTCCTTAGTACAGAAATAGGTTCGGTTTCCAATGGTCTTATAATTCTGGGGGCCTCTATTTCCATTGGCTCAATAGAAGCCTTATTGGTTTTTCCGGCTTGGGAACGTATGGCATATTACCTTACTGTCATTTTGTGTATTATTATTAGCTTGAGTGTTGTTGTGTTGGGGTGCTTCGTGCGTGCCCTGGAGTGGATTGTGTCTGGCGTACCATGACATTGCTGCTTGGTAAAGGTCTGGTGGGGCCTCAGGGAATCGGACATACGGTCCTTTTGAGTCACTGTTATTACTATTATTGTTGTTATATTGCCCCCTATTGTAGTTGCCCCGACCTCTGCCCCTTGGGTGTGAGGTACCTCTATAGCTGTTTTGCCCGTTAGAGTTCTGACTCTGAATTTGCTCGTAATTTGAGCTGTGTTCCTGATAACGGCCCTCAGCTTCATCCGCAATGCGAAGCCTGCAGTCTGGCTTAATATGACCGCGTTTCCCACAGTAGTAGCAAGTCAGGTGATTTTGACAAGCCGCAGCAAAGTGCCCTGGTTTACCACATGTGTGGCAATTGGAGTCACTGCTGGTTTGGCCTCCCCGGCCTCTGCCTCGGCCTCGGCCCCTGCCTCGGCCCCTGCCTCTGCCTCTACCTGTTTGTGTTCCTGTTCCAGGTGCTGCTTCCTGGTCGGCGTAGTTGACTTCAGCATTGTCGTCCGAAATGTCAACTTCTACTTTTCTGACCTTTTTGCTGGGAGTCTCCGATGTCAGAGACAATGCCCTATTCACATGGGTGAGTGCTTCCTCCACCGAGTTGACTGATGCATAACAAATACGCTCAGCCACTTTCCTATCTGTTAACCCTTTGATGAAAGCCTTAACACCGGCTTGATCCCTATCGATTTGATTGCTGTTTGGCATGTAATCGACCACAGCTTCCTTTACCTTCTGAGCGTAATCTCTCAGAGTTTGTCCCTCTTCCTGCTTGAGTGACTCGTAAACTCGAGTCCTCTCCCATAACTCTCTCCTGATATGGAAAGTGTTTTCTAGCTCTGCATCTAAATTGGCAAATGTCAATGGCCTATTTTGTGTGGTCAAGGTTCGAATGACCTTGGTAGCTTCCCCTTGTAGGGCCTGCAGTAGGAACGCCCCTTTGTCCTGTTCGGACCAGTTTTTGGCCCGCCCTTCAATTCAAAAAATAGGGGAAGGGCCTATGCATTTGCCTTTGTGTCTGTGTGTTGTTGTCGTTGTCGTTGTTGGCGTCTGTGTACAAGGAAGGAGTTGAGCTAGAGTAACAGATTTGGAGGGTACTTCAGGAGTACCGTCCCAACAAATAATCCGGTGGTGCAAATCCCGTCCGGGTCGCACAAGGGCTGCTGCAGGTGCATCATGGTTTACATGAGCGGGAGGGGGATTTCCGCCATTATTGGTGCTAGCAGGGCACATAGGGGTATTTTTGGAATCGGGGCGACGAGACAAGATGAATAGACCTGGTCCCGACCCCATCGGCCGCTTTTACAAGTTGGCCAGATCAGGATCTTCAAAAAAGGGGGTCGACCGACTGAAAAAATTTATTGCAGATTTCGATTGGTCTCAGCAAGACCTTTTCAACGAGGGGTCGGAAAGGGTGTCCAGGAGCCCGACTTCGTCTATTAGTCACATCAGGATCTTAAAAAAAGGGGGTCGACCGACTGAAAATTTTTACTTAAGTTTTCGATAGGTCTTGGCAAGACCTCCTCAACGAGGGGTGGGAAGGGGGGTCCAGGAGCCCACCTTCATGAGTTATGGGAAAAAGTGCGACGGACTCGTTTTGCGCTCCTGCTGTGCCTCCATTGCAAGGAGTTGCAGTAGCATGGCAAATATGGGTATTTTCGGAATGAGGGCTAAGAGACAAATGAAATAGGCATATTCTAAGGACAGTTGGAGTAAAGAGTGTAAGGACTTTTGCATGTGAATGGAAGGGCGGGCCTAAGTCACGATGGTACATCGATAACTTTGCTTTACCCGCTTTACACGGGCTGTGTTATGCGAGCGGGCCGAAGGCCCGGGCCTTCGACTGGCCAAGTTAGGTCTGATGCGAGGGCCGAAGGCCCGAGAAAAGGCCGCCGGCAGGCCAAGCTGGGCCGGCCCCCTGTCGAACCGAGTTGCCGGCGCAGCGAAGCGGAGCTGGCAACTCGGTTCGACGGAAGGGCGGGCCCTAGCTTGTTGTGTTCTGCGATGCTCAGAAACTGTGCTCTGTAGACATCGTACCCTGTGCTGCCATTGTATAGTGGTACATAGCCAGACGTGGAAATGACTGTAGCTGCTGGTTGCATGTGTGCTGGAGGGGCGCGATTAATTAGGTCGCGCATTAGATTGTAAAATTGTTGGGGTTGTAAATTATCTTGCTGATCGCGCCTATCTTCGCGGCGGTAAGGGTGCGCGCGTCGACGGCGGCGTGGCGCCTGGCTGTACTCGTCGTCTTCCTCATCATGATCCTCACCAGGATTGTCGTCCCAGTCCATTACACCGTCGCGCCCGGGCGCGCCGGCCTGCTGGCCGTGGTCCCTGACTCGCGGCTCGTGCTGCTCGTCGTGATCGAGGTCGTCGTCGTCCTCGTCGGTGTCGTACCCGTAGCGCCGCAGCGGCCTGATAGCACGGCGGGGGCGGTCCGGTGCTTGCCCTGCGCCTAAACCTCCGCGTCCGCGCCCTCGGCCTCGGCCTCTACCGCGTCCTCGCCCGCGCCCTCTACCGCGTGGGGCAGGCACGCCCGGTTCGTCGTGTTGTTCGCGGGGTACTTCGACTTCCTCGACGTCGAGGGGGACCTGCGCGTCGGCCATGGTTGGGTAATTAGTCCCACCAACGGCGGTTGTACAAGACGGTGTTCAAAGGGCGGCGCCTTTGCTGGACGGGGCGGATTCGCGGCGTGGGGCGCGTGGGCTCGTCGGACGGGGGCGACGCTGTGTAAACGCGCACTGGGGTTTTGTGTTCAACAAGATTGCCCTTGCTATCCCAGGTAATTACTGTGCAGTAATCTATGTGTACTGTGTTGCAGGACGACGCGGTGTTCACTTCGCGAGGAGCTTCGATTTCAACAACAGATGCAGTTGGGTGTGGGGAATGGGACATAGCACTTGACTTTAATAAAGTTTTGACTTGATTTCAAGCCTCTAATTTCTAAGTTAAGACTAGTTCACTCACTCCTTAAAACTAGCACAGCTCGATGCCAGCTGGTCACTTTGACACAGTGGCAGAGTAGGCCTTTAACTAGCCTCACCACAGCACGAATTCGCTCAGCAGGCGTGTGCAGGCGATCATCAATGCGCGGAGAGGACCGAACGTGCAGCTTTACTGATCATGCGGCAATTCGCTCAGCAATTGAATGCAGGCGACCATGCGTTAGGGGCAGTAGGCTACTTGTTCCTCATCAGTCAAGCACGTTCTCTCAACAATTTCGCTCAGCAAATGAATGCAGGCGAACGTGTGGGCCTCGTGTGGGCTGAGTATGTTGATAAGTGAGCAGGCAATTTCACGCAGCAAATGAATGCAGGTGGACGTCACTTGGTCACGTAACAATCAACTTATTTCTAGCTGTAGTATTCGCGTAGGCAATTTCGCTCAGCAATTTAATGCAGGCGAACCTCACACTACTTGTATATCTACAGGTTGTTCCCGTTCCATAAGTGAGTAATTTCGCTCAGCAAATTAATGCAGGCGATGACTATCCACTCAGGTAGCAGGTGTCTTAAATTATTTGGCATACAGGACATGAGCCCCGTCCCGTTTGAGCCCCGATGGTCTGAGCCCCGACCTGAGCCCCAACCTGAGCCCGGGTTGAGCCCCGACTTGAGCCCCGACCCAAGCCCCAATTTTCAGAGCCCGGATTGAGCCCCGACCTGAGCCCCGTTTGAGCCCCGTTTGAGCCCCATTTGAGCCCCATTTGAGCCCCA